CCAGTGGAACAGTGCTGCAGGCCAAACTGGGTTCTTTACAACTGTGTATCCATTAGGGGGGAAAGGCTTCCAATACAAAGGATTGGAATGGAAACTTGATGTGCGATTTGCTGCTTCAGGCAGAGCTGGCACAGTTACCCAGACGAATGCGGGTGCTGAATGGCACCTAATTTACAGCGGGAGCTCGGCACTCTTCCTCTATTTGCTACTTCACTGGAACAAGGAGAGAGAGATATTAGGATGAAGAATAATATGCTTATGGACACATAAAGATGGAAGAGAGAGGAACACATGAAATGTCACTTATTTGAAGGTCTACTTTTGTCTCCTCTGTCCTCTTGCTCCCCAAAACACATGCCACATTATTTTCACTATCTGTGACCCACTCTAGAGCTAAGGCACCCGATGCTTCTGGTTTATCATTGAGCCCAGCCACATGAAGCTGTGGCCTGCCATCTGAAGCAGAGTAACTGGTGTGTTTTACTGTCTCTGCTAAGAAGAGGGCATTGACATATCAGATCCCTTGTGATGGGTTGAATTATGTCCCTCCAAGAGATTCATTAAAGTTCCTAAACCCTGTCAGGTGACCTTGGGGGCTGCCCAGTTCAGGGTCACTGTGAATGTGACCTTATTTGCCAGTAGGGTCTCTGGAGATGTAATCAAGTGAAGACAAGATGATTTGAGGTCAGCGTGGGCCTAATCCAATGTGATTGTTGTCCTGACCAGAAGAGAAGAGCAGGAGAGGACACCATGTAACACCAGACATGGAGATTGGAGCTATGTGTCCACGAGCCAAAGAAATTGCCAAAGAGTGCCAACTACTCCCAAGAGCTAAGAGCTAAGGTGCGGGACACATTCTCCCCTCAAGCCTTCAGAGAGAGCATCGCCTTGCTGACACTTTGATTTTGAACTTCTACCCTCCAGAACATTGGGAATAAAATTCTGTTGTTTCAAGCCTTCCAGGTTGTGCTAGTTTGATACAGCAGCCCTAGGACACGAATACACTCTGCTGAAGAGTAAAGGCATGAATCTGTAAGACCCACTACACAGAGGAAAAAGTCACCAAACAGCCATCCCACGTGGTCATAATGAACCCTGCCACCTTCTGCAGAGGAGGTGGAACTCTCCAAGGATTGGAGATATCTCCTCTAGAGGTGGCTGCACAAATGTGCCACTGGACCGGGGGCACTTTGAGGGTAGGATGCCCTTTGTTCTCTGCATCTCTCCTTCCGTGCCTGAAAACCAGAAGTGTTCAATAAACATGGAAAATACAAATTCATAGGACAGTATTTTCCAGATGAGTGATTAGCATTACTTTATGACATCATGGAAGTATTGACCATCCTCTTCTGTGAAAATGTAAGTGGCAAAGAGATCACATCCAATGCCTTCATTGGTGAAACCCACTCTTAGATCTTGAAAGACACAACCTTGGGCTTCTTTGAGATCTGCTTTGGTCCCTGGCGCTTTTAAGTGGCAGATATAACCCGTGACACCTTTTCTAAAAGATCTGAAAATCCCAGTGATATTATGATTCTGCTGCTCAGATGTGGCCTCAGTTTCTTGACTTTTTTTTTTTAAGATTTTATTTATTTATTTATTTGAGAGAGAGAGAACATGTGAGTTGTGGAGGGAGGAGAAGAGGGAGAGGGTGAGAGAGAATCCCAAGTAGACTCCCTGCTGAGCATGGTGCCTGACATGGGGCTCGATGTCAGGACCCTGCGATCATGACCTGAGCCGAAATCCAGATCCAGACACTTAACACACCGAGCCACCCAGGTGCCCCTCAGTTTCTTAATTTTTAGGGCACAACGTGCTTACTCTCCATTTAAAAATCAGCCCACTCAAAATGATAACCTGCTGTTTTGTGCATGAATTCATCTTAAATGCCTTTTGAGGCTCTACGTGAAAGATACCGTTACTAGCAACAACCAATAAATGAAATAAATACCAGATATAAAATCAGCCACATGGGCTGGCTCCTAGAGGGAAATGGAATGTATGGAGATTTCATTTGATAAAAGTCCAGAACTGAGGTATGTCTTAATGTTGAATGTGAGTGTATTTTATAAAATGTAAAAGGCTGTAAAGAAGTCAGTCGCTCTATTATTTTTCCTATTCCATGTCCTTGATTAAATGACAAACCCAAAGAGTTAGTAATCAGCCTTTTCTCTTCCTTGGACTGTGATTTCTTTACCCATCAGTAAGTTATGGCTGATATCCCAAGATCCCAGCTAACTCCATTTTTTTCTCTTGTAATCTATGATTTTATCAGCGGAGGTGTATATATACCTAAGTTCCTGAAATATGAGAATACTTTCGGTGACTCTACTGGCACATAATAAATTGTTTTGCATAAATTTTTCAGAATGTAAAGAGGGGAAGTAGAACATGAAAAAGTATCAAGCATTTAAGAAAATATATGTATTATTATAATAATTAAGACTCAACTTACCTAAAGAGGAGAGGAAGAGTATATTCATGATTCACATGAGTATACTCCATGCTCATTGTGTAGATTTTTAGAAGAAACAGAGGAGCAAAAGCTACCACAATACAGTTAGAAATCCTAGCTGCCTTTTAAATATAAACAGCAAACTCAATCTTTTTATTTCATAAAAGAAAAAGTTGAACTGCCCCTAACTTCATTTCATAAACCAAATGTCACATTCAGAAATGACCATTGTTGAGTTTCTTTGGAATCAACAACTTTTTCTGTGGCTAACAATGTTTCTAGATATTCCTGATATCAGCTAAAATGCCGGAAAGAGCATGTAGAGATGCAGTCAAGAGCCTATTAGTAGAGGATTTTGATTTCAGTGGAATCAGCATTTCTTGTATATTTTATTTGCTTTTTAAAGACAGTAAGCCTTTGATTTGAGTGTGTGTTCTAGCCTTGAAATCAACTCCTTACAGAGAAATTCCTGGTTCTATGCGGGGTTCATCAGAGTGCCCTGGAACCAAAGGTCACAGGTCCCCAAATGTGGGCAAGGCAACACAGACCATTGATTATAGAGGAATCTCTAGGGTGAGTGCTCCCCAGACGCAGGGGAAAAACTTGAAAGCAGGAGGAATTCTAAACTCAAAAGATGACAAATACTTAGACTGGCCCTGGCTAAAGGAAATGAGGCAATAGGGCTAAAAAGACAAACAAACAAACAAAACAAAAACAAAACCCTCAAGCCTATCATTTCTCTCCATGACTTTCTTTAGATAGTCCCTACATGTTTTAAGAGAAAAATTTTAAAAATATTTTAAGAACTAAGTAACAAGAACTGTTAAACATGTTTATATCTCTTGCCCTGGTGATTCTGCCTCTAGATATTTGTTTTAAGAATATATTAGGGGATCCCTGGGTGGCGCAGTGGTTTGGCGCCTGCCTTTGGCCCAGGGCGCGATCCTGGAGGCCCGGGATCGAATCCCACGTCGGGCTCCCAGTGCATGGAGCCTGCTTATCCCTCTGCCTGTGTCTCTGCCTCTCTCTCTCTCTCTCTGTGTGTGACTATCATAAAAAAAAAAAAGAATATATTAGAAGTGTGTAGAATAATTTTGAAGATGTATGTTTAACTGGCATTATTTGTGGTGTAGGGAAAGTGAGAGACAAGCTCAATGTACAAAAATAGGGAAAAAGCTAAATAAATTACAGTCCATCCATAAGACAGAATGTTGTGAGGATATTTTAAAATTCTTCTCTCAAAGATAGTTGTTTATAATGGAAAATGCCCAATCTGTAGCTCTCAAAAAAAAAGGGCAGATACACAATCATATATTCCATATAATAATGATTTTAAATATCTATAAATGTCCATGTATATATAAAGAGAAAAACTGGAAAAACACACCAACATGTGAACTACCTCTAAGTGGCAGGATTTGAGATTATAGGTGATTGTTTCTGATTTTTCAAGTATTTTAAGTAGTATTTTTTAAGTCCTTTAAGATTTTTCTACAATAAGCCTGTATTGCTTTTAATATCTAACTATTAACTTCCAAGGTTAGGATACTCATGGACCTTCCCTTAAAATGATAGTCTCCCCCCTGAATCAGAAACGTGGACGCTGTGCTTGGGGTTTAATGTAGCGAGGTGGAGAATTATGATTCAATGCTAGATTTTCATACATAAAGACTCAGTCGCTGAACGGATATTTACAGGGCACACACTCATTCATTCAGTCAATCAATGCTTATGGAGCACTTGCTCTGTGCTGGCCACTGAATCACCCCCAGTAGCCAGGGCACCTCCAATGGGGCTGGATGATGGTGAGAAGCTCCTACTCTGGGTATACTCTGGGTATTCAAGAAAGTCAGAAATCACTGAGGAATGAGACATTCCTAAAGGCTGGACAAATTTTCCCCAGCTGACTCCCTGGGAGTTGAACCTTTGCTTGCAAGCCTAAGACCCTATCCCTGCTGAGCACGGAAGCAAAGTGTCTGTAGGTTTGTGGCAGGATGTCATGGCTGCTTCCTCACCTGCCCTCTTGTCTCAGAAGCTCCATTGGCCCTAGAGGCTCAGTCTGTTGTAGCATTGCACAGCTTAGTACTTTCTTAGCATTCTGTTTTAGTTTTGACGACTTGATATTCTGACCAATGGTTACCATATTTCTCCATATATTAGGTTGATAGGTTGACTTCCCAGATCAGCTCCACTCTCCTTTCCTTCCCTCTCTGTCCCCACCTCTTTCCAGGTTGCAAGCTTCTATTTTCCAGTTGCTTTATCTGCATTTTGGAAATACCTCGAAATAGGAGAAAGCAGGGGCCTGGGACCCCGTAGCCATCCCTGCACAATCTGGCCATCTCTGACAAATCAGACTCTTGGGCCTTGCTATTTCTTTGAGTCACTGAGGATGGAGCAGAGGCAGCCCTTCATCCCCCAGAACGAAGGCTGCTGTGTGACTATCGGTGGCCTGTGCTCTGAGCACAGGGCTCAGGGTCACATACGGTCTGTTTGCAGGGAGCCCCACACTGTAAAGGGTAGATCTGATGGTAGACATCTTACTCACTTTCCAGAGAGCCTCTTGGTGAACAGGAAAACATGTAAGCAGGTGGTTTTGTGCTGCAGAAGCCACTCAGATGTGCCTTCTTCCTACGTGGGCCACAGCCTTTCCCAGCCCCCTTTCTTGAGTCCCCCAGAGAGGCTGTGTGCCACTCGTTAAAGGGCTCTGGCACACCCCACAATCTTGTCCTGCAGAGAGCAGGGTCCACCGCCCGGTCTGGGTCTTTACAAAGTGGCTATTTTTCCTGAACCTTTCCCTGCCCCTTGGGGTAAGAGAATCATTTCCAAGGATAAACGTCTAAACCTCAGTAGGAGATGCCATAGCCTAATGATTAATAAGCACCCTTGTAAATCCCATCTCAGTTGTGCGTAAGCAGTGTGTCTTTCAAGAAATTTACTTAAGTTTCCTTGCAGGGTTGTTGTCAAGTGATAATTAGTGTTGCCCCTTGACCCAGTGCCTGGCTGATAGGAGGTTGGCAGTGAAGGTGGCCCTGATAGCGATTCCCGGTTCCGGCAGGACAGCGTCCCTAATAAGGATGTGCACCTGCGCACCTGGGAGCACACACACGTTTGGTGCACGGGAAGAAATGGAGGATGCACCTGATGAGGCTTGCTTGCAGAGCTGCCGTGGTTGGGGCTTTCTTTCCCTTGGGAAGATAGAATGTGATATTTCTTACATATCATATAGGGAGAGGACTTCGATTTTTCTTTCAGCTCTTTGTCATTTGAAAGGGCATTTGGTGACAGTGAGCTGTTTTAGAGGGCTGTCTGTGAGCTGGGAAAAAGTAAAAATAAATGGGACAGTGAAATTTTGTTTGTTCTCCAGGAAAACCTCTTTTTCCCTCCCAACGGCCCTGAGAGTGTAATGCGCGTTCTGACTTGCCCTCTCCTTACAATCCCTTCCACACATTTCTTTTCCCCATTTCTTCTCCTTTTGAGAAATAAGATCTTTTGAAGAATAAGACAGTGCTTCACCTATCCAAATTTGGGAGAACCAAGATGATTCTCAAAAGACATGAACTAATACTAATCTCCTAATATGTAATAATCACACCCCTGTACATGGCACATGGTAAACAATGATGGTAACAATCCCAGCCTTCTTTGGGAAAGTAGCCATTCTGGAGAGCTGAGTTGTAAGCGATTGAAGGCTGCCCTTCCAAGCACCAGAAACTAACTAACTAAATTAATTAATAAAATAAATTATTTTTTAAAAAAGGAAGGAAGAAAAAAAAAAGATGTTTTGGGTGGAAAACTTTCTGAAATGTAACTCAATCTCTATTGCTTTCCGAAGGAGTCTGGGAAACTTATATTTAATACTTTTTTTCTCTTTTCTTGGTCTCAAAGTTATCATAATGAGAACCGATTCTAATGCTGTTGTAGGACAAAGTTATGTGCTTAGGCAATTGAGATAGGATGTTTGCCTGCTAAGTAGATGCAAATTACTGTGCCTTTTAGAATCCTTGTGTCTGCTTTCTTTCTTTTTTTTTTTTGTCTTTTCTTCTTCTTCTTCTTCTTCTTCTTCTTCTTCTTCTTCTTCTTCAAGATTTTATTTATTCACGAGAGACATAGAGAGAGGCAGAGACATAGACAGGTGGCAGAAGTAGGTTCCTTGTGGGGAGCCTGATGCAGGACTAGATCCCAGGACCCCAGGGTAATGCCCTGAGCCAAAGGCAGATGTTCAACCACTGAGCCACCCAGGTTTCCCTTGTGTCTGCTTTCCACAGTTTCCTATTTCCCTCTTCTGTGGGCTGTCACCATCACCTTTTGTCAGCATGTATGTCTATAGCAAAAGGCCTTTCTACTTCTAATTTCCTAAGTGCTAGAGAGGTGAAAGTGAAAAAATTATACTGGTTAAGGTTATGTGTGCGATAAGCATAAATATTTCCTGAGTCAGGACCTACAGGCTACTTCTTCTTACATGTAAAAGAAAACTACTTCTCAAGTTGTGTTTTAATTTTAAAAAAGTCCCTGCTCCCAAGCTATTTTTTGGATAAGTGAGCTTATGCAATGGTCAGTTCTATGTAAATAAAAAATATATAATATACTGTGGACCTACCCAGTCCCAGCTCTGTCAGTTATATGGTTATATGAGGCCTGTTAGCTGTTATTCAAATGCTTGCATTCAGATCATATATTTCTTCGGTGCCCTGAAGTTTTGAAAATTTTAATAGCTCTGTGGATTGAACTGACATGAGACGAAGCTATTTCAAGTCTCCTGCAGTGATTTTTACATTCATAAAAATGTTCTCAATGTATCACAGGCACTGTTTGATCACAGAGAAATAATGTTCTCAGAAATCTAACTCAGGTGTGATCTCCTATTGGGGAAAGTTTCCTCTTTTCTCCAATGCTCTTTAAGATGCATTTTCTATGACTGGCCATTTCTATTGGTCACAATTGTTAAGATTCTATTGGTCACACATGTAACCTAGGCCATCAGCAGGATTTTCTGGCAGAAACCATCATGGGTATTAAAAGTCATGGGTTGGGAGCAAGAGTCACCAGACACCATCACATTCAACTGTGTGAAGCTCCTGATTTACAATTTTGTCTCACTTCCTTGGGTTGTCTCCCATGAGCAGAAGTAACTCAGGAGGCTGAGGAAAACAGCAGATTGTGGCTGGGCCAACCTTCTAGAAAGGTCCACACAGTGGTCCCTGGACCCTAGGAGTTCTCCACTCCCCCAACACTGTTTATATTAGCTATCATGCACGGAACAGTCATGTGGTACACTTTGCAGTCAGCAAGTTTATCTTCTGTTAAAGTTTTACCAGTAGAAATCAAGTAGTATTTACCCCCGTTCCGCGGCAAGTCATGTGCAAACAGCACCTGTGAACATTTTCAGCACACATGCTGGACTTTCTCCTTCGTGTTTCTCATCACAACAAATGTTGGGGGGGAAGCCAACAATTGCTGAGACTCTGGCAAATGTGGAACTCCTCACCAGAAATGACTCACAATCACTGCTGTCAAGGTGCATGGGACTTTGCTTTTGCCGTCGTCAGAGCACCTTCGTTGGTTACAGACATTCGTCCTTACATAAGGCCAAACTCAGCACACCCATAAGAACTCTGAATGCTGCTAACAGGTATTTCCTCCATGAAACAAGAGTACTTTACAGTTAGAATTTTTTTTTAAGTGTTAGCATTTAAGAGGGTTCTGTAAACCAGATTTCATGGTACTTTCCCATCTCTTTAATATTTATCTATCAGTCACAATGTGTGAAGGACTGCTTTCAGTGCTTTAAAACGCTAATTCATCTGGTACTCAAAACAACTTTGTGAGATAAGTCCTATTACCCTACTTTACATTTATGTAGACTGACACACAAAGAGATTAAGTAATTTGCCTGAGGCCACATTGTTAGTCAAGTGATAGAGCAAGAAGTTGAACCCAGGCCCAGACCAGGGCAAGCATAGAACCACTGTACTATGTTGCACCCTGCCCCCCACCCCCTGCATGATTATAAGTATTGGTAATACTGTTCTTTTTTTCCCCCAAACTGAACCAAAGTTGAGCTTTTACAATATCTACTGTATTGGCTTGCTAGAGTTACCGTAACAAAGTACCAAAAACTGGTCATAATATGCTAGCCATTAGTATGCTAGACATTATTACAAATGTCAAAATAAGGGTGGCTCAGTTGGTTATGCATCTGCCTTCAGCTCAGATCATGATTTCAGGGTCCTGGGATCAAGCCCTGCATTGGGTTCCCCACTCAACAGGGAATCTGCTTGTCCCTCTCCTTCTGCCTCTCCCCCAGTTCGTGCTCTCTTTCTCAAATAAATAAATAAAATCTTTAAAAACATGTCAAAACAGGGATCCCTGGGTGGCTCAGTGGTTTAGAGCCTGCCTTTGGCCCAGGACGTGATCCTGGAGTCCCGGGATCGAGTCCCATATCGGGCTCCCTGCATGGAGCCTGCTTCTTCCTCTGCCTGTGTCTCTGCTTCTCTCTCTGTGTGTCTCTTGTGAATAAATGAATAAAAAGTCTTAAAAAAAAATGTCAAAACAGGGGATCCCTGGGTGGCTCAGAGGTTTAGCTCCAGCCTTGGCCCAGGGCGTGACCCTGGAGTCCCAGGATTGAGTCTCACATCGGGCTCCCTGCAAGGAGCCTACTTCTTCCTCTGCCTGTGTCTCTGCCTGAATAAATAAATTAAAAAAAAAAAAAAAAACATGTCAAAACAAGCTCCATGTTCTTTAAGGAAAGATAACATTCAAAATGGTCATTGGTTCATGAGATCCCTGGGTGGCGCAGCAGGTTTGGCACCTGCCTTTGGCCCAGGGTGCAATACTGGAGACCCGGGATCGAGTCCCATAACGGGCTCCCGGTGCATGGAGCCTGCTTCTCTCTCTGCCTGTGTCTCTGCCTCTCTCTCTCTCTCTCTCTCTCTCTCTCTCTCTCTGTGACTATCATAAATTAAAAAAAAAGAATATGTAATAAAATAAAATAAAAAACAACAACAACAAAAAAACCAAAATGGTCATTGGCATGGCAAAGTTGGGAAGTTCTTGGGTATTTTTGGGTAGTTTGTTTGACAAAAGCCTCTCCAATTTGAAGTGGGTACTACAACTATAAGAAATAGTGCTAAAATCACTATTTTACCTTGATTTCTTCCCTTCTACTTCTTATACCAAATATGAGGGTATGGGGAACTATTCATCTATTTATCTCTCTTTCTATCTATTATTTGTCTATCCCCATCTATCTTCTCAATAGACCACAGATTGAGGAGTGAAGTAGTCATCTTATTAGTTAATTGTTTTTTTGGCAAGTGTTTAGCAAGACTTCATTTTAGCTTTGTCATCATAAAATGTGTCCTTTAAGCTAACTGTAGAAAATATGAAGTCATATAAAGGGAAAGAGCTTTATGGCAAGAAATCTAAGATAAGCCATCTTTTATGACTACAAATAAATCCCAGGTTATAGTGAAAAATCAGTGAGATGTAGAAATAATAGGTGTGTATATATGTAAATGTGAAATATCCTGCGGTGTCTGGCATGGAGCAAGTGGTTAAAAATATTAAAGGGGAGGCAGGTAGGCAGGCATGAGGTCCCAGTTTCTCCTGGCAAATGGCAGAAATTGACACCAGCAATGATTTTGGTCCCCACAATGATGAATCACATGTTAACACTATAATTTTACTCCTCATATAAGGAAAAATATTATACTGCCCCTCCTAATCCTTATTCAGATTCTCCAAGTA